TTGAAGATCCCTACATCAACACACTGGAGGAAATGTACAACGTACCCGCATCCATCTCAAGCCTCCATAACGAAAATGATAGAATCTCAAGAAGAAAGGTTGCCCCGCCGCGGTGGTCTAGTGGCTAAGGTACTCGGCTGCTGACTCGCAGTTCGCGGGATCAAATCTCGGCTGCGGTACTGCATTTCGATGGAGGCGGAAATGTTGTAGGCCCTTGTGCTCAAATTTGGTTGCTGGTGAAAGAACCCCAGGTGGTCGAAATTACCGGAGTCCTTCACAACGGCGTCTCTCTTAGTTATATGGTGGTTTTGGGACGTTAACCACATATATCAATTAAATCAACAAGAAGGATTTAAAACATTGAGACACGATCTCCCATATGCAATTCACCGCATGTGTACACAAGGTTTTCAAGATCCTAGCTTTCCAGAAGTTAAGAATAAGTAATATTGGAGAATATATTAGTAACCTGTGTTAAACCCCACATACCAACCAACCCTCTTGCATTCTTCGTGTTAGGCGCCCCTTCATTCGATACATGTGACTGACACTACTTGCACTCGACACTGCGTCACCAGATGCTCGCCTTCGTACAAGAAACAAGAAACTGGTTTATGCTTCTGCTCTTGTGTTTCACGTGAGACGGCATTTGTTAGTGCAACAGTCATTGACATGGCTGTCGACAGCCCACGATAATCCTTTGTTGCCGCTTCCAAACCAATAACAGTGTTCATTCCAGTAACATAAGTCAAGTATTCTGACTCAAGAAGTCGTCTCTGCATTTCCCCGTTATTTAGCCCTGCCGAATCGAGGCCACGAAGCATTCCGTCTGGGTACCCGCCGAAACCCAATCGTTAGAGTTTTCTCATGCCACCAAAGAAATACAAAGCAGTTTCGTCAGAATGCCATATTCTTTAATACGTAACGTACTTGCGAATTCCAAAAGTGTTGCTTGCATGTCTCCACATCATCGAAAAAAAAACTCACATGCCGTTCAGCTGAAAACACGAATTTAGCAGGCGGGTAACTTTCAAGAGTTGTAAAGCGATTGCAAAAAGAGGCCAATTCACAATAGCAATTTAGCTAGAACGTTTACGATGGACTTGCTGCTTCAAAAAGTTGTGTGTTGCTGCGCTTAGATATTTCTGAAAAAACTTATAGTTTGTTGACTCTGCTGATCGAGATTTCTCGCTTATCAGCTCATTAGCGATACTACTGTAGTTTATGGTTATAGCTAGTTTTCTGTTGTTGTCGCAGTACTATCCACATCCACCGCGTTCTGATAATTTTGGGACATATATTCCTGAGGAAACAGCAAGTTCAAGCATAAATATCGCACTAAACATGCGAAATGGTCCCGCCTAACATAAAGAACTCTCTGTAATATGCGAGGGTGTCGTATGGGCATTCTGCTGTAAGTATAGTGCCATGTTAAGGCAATAGTTTGTAAAACTAACAGGACGCAAGCCTGTTGAGCACACATGGAAAAATCACAATAGTTTTCATTTGTCTCTTAGATAGCGGCTGCAAATTTAGTGATGTTCATCTCAGCTGAATTGCGATATTATCACGTAGTGGGAGTTTTGTACACAATTATGCGCCGCTGGTACTCACTCGAGGAGACGACGAGAGTATAGTAGAAGTGGGAAACTACAGTCCTACAAAAAATATACAAGAATCGAAAAGTTCGGGGTTCCCCAACTATTAGCGCAGTTTTATGATCTGGACAACTAACTTGGCGCAATAATTCTTGCACGCGTCTAAGTAAATGTAGAGGTCATGAAGAGGCAAATCTAGTTATTGCACAAAAACGGATCAACGAATGCAAGGACTTCTTCTGAAATTGGGGTAGTGAAGGAAAGAAAAAAGACAGAGGGTGGTTGCGATCGTGACAGTGCCTTCACACAAAAAAAGAGAACAATCTTCCGTGTATGCAAGAATAAGATTCACGCAGCAATGCAAGACGAAATCATTACCGCTGTTGTGGACACCCGCTGAAGTCTTGCTTCCTGAACCGGGTAGTGGCGTTACACTGAGAACACATCAGGGGCATTACAGCAGTCGTAGTCCTCCGGTTCATACGTCCCAAGGTTCTGTGTACAACTTGTGTATCTCGTACCTGAGGGGGCGAAAAAAAAAGGGTGGCTCCGCTTGTGCCCGCCTGCTAGTTACCTGAGGCTGCAGTAGAAGAATCCCCTTGGCCGCACCTTCAATTC